AAAAAATAAAAATCACAGATGGACGCCCGAAATTAAATGAGACCCTTCCAAGTGTCTGGTACAATGTCCGCCGAAATGCACGCCGTTCGCTCCTTTTGATTTACCAACACCCGTCGGAAAAAGAACGCGCGCGCTCTAGCATAGGCAGACGCACGCTCTGGCGTACAAGCTAGCCGTTCGGCGCTCCTTAATAGGCCTAGGCTAGCTGTACTTGTTGGCTTTATTATTTATAAATCTACCTATCTCACAATTTTCACTTGGTATCTGTTTAATTATATATGTTCGCGAACATTTTGTTCGAGTAGCTTGGACGCGGCTTTAGACGATCAAATCTATTTTTCCAAGGCTCCTTGATTAAAAATTAGTGTTTTTAACACAACCATGGCACTCTAGATTGAAATTTAAAAAACAATTTGTTTTTGAGTGAATATGTTAAAACTTGACATATGATATGTCATTCGATTTCAAAAAATACGAAAGATGCCATTTAGAAATCAAAAGTTGTAGTCATTTCCGGTGAAACAGAAAGTGACCGAAAACAGTTGAAAACGTCAATCAATCCTAATTTGTCATATACCAAACCAAATCTCGTTTTTTTATCTGAAGAAATAAAAAAGTTATAGGGGTGAGCCACTTTTGAGACGCACCCGGTAGAGTACTATACAGGGTGAGTTTCCTACGATGTTCTCTGGAAACTACTGGAGATAGAGTCGGTTAAATGGGAAAAGAATTGCAGTTTTGTGGGGTCATAAATATGCGCCTTTCAGATTTTTGAAAAAGTTCATGGCTTACTAGATATTTCGAAAAAAACAAATTTCGGTTATTTTAAAAATTGTCCCTAATTCCATTATAAGCTATTTTAGACAAAAAGTTTTCAGATATAAGTTGTAGATAATCACATCTTTAATAAGATTGTGTCCTCCGTTTTTTTCTAAAGCCTGTCATTTTTGACATATGGCACAAACATATGTTTTTTTAAATGGAAACCATAATAGGCCACGACTTCATAAAAAGCGCCATTTTCTAAGCTTTTCAGCGATATAAGCTATAATATGTTTTCTTCGAAAAATTACTGAGTTATAGTTTGGTTATAGCCAATTCTTATCATTTTTAAACAATTTCACTTAGTTAGCCATGGAAACAAGTTTAATCGTCTTTGCTCTCAGAAATGTGAAGCTGTCACATGCAAACTTTGTAAATTAAAATAAGCAAAAATTGTAAATATGAATTTTTCAAATGAAGAAAAGCGTGTAGGATTATTGGTTCAACTTCTCTTGACCATACATTTTCGAGGATACGTTAACCGGTGAATGTTACGTTTTTTAGAGAACGGTTTTCAAGACATGTTAGAAAAGTTTAGTTATAGCCAATTCTTATCTTTCTTGACTAATTTCAATTAGATTGCATGGTATTCTTGTTCTGTTATGATTTATAACTTATAAACAGTCAGAATATATTACTAAACGGTTCCTTACAATTTACATTACACAAACTAAAACTTACATAATAAAAACTAAAACTTAACATAATATCACTGCATAGTTATTTTAGAAAATGTTCGAAAAATCCGCCCTTGTTTTGAGAGTTGCATCTTTTTAAAACTGAATTACTACCTATTCTCACAGAAGGACCGGTCGACTTAATTAAACTTCTCTCGTACCGACACTTCGAGTGCTACTCTTAATTCATAAGTTCTTTTGTAAACCTTATTGTTAACCATACGGCATAAAAAATCTAAAGTGGATAGGTCAGGTGATCGAGGAGACCCATGCAACTGGTCCACCTCTTCCTATCCCTGAGTTTGCATAATTATGATATTAATAATTTTTAACATTTCTTTCATTGTGGGGGGTCATAATGCTTTCATTATGACCCCCCCCCCCAAAATGAAAGAAATGTTAAAAATTATTTATATCATAATTATAATGTTGGAACCACTCTATTGATGCGCGAGTATCTACACGCTTTTCCTCATTTGAAAATGCATATTTACAATTTTTGTTTATTTTAATTTACAAAGTTTGGATGTGACAGCTTCACATTTCTGAGAGCAAAGGCGATTGAATTTGTTTCCATGGCTAACTAAGAGAAATTGTTTAAAAATGATAAAAATTTGCTATAACTCAGTAATTTTTCGAAGAAAACATATTATAGCTTATATCGTTGAAAAGCTTAAAAAATGGCGCATTTTATGAAGTCATGGCCAACTATAGTTTCCATTTAAAAAAACATATGTTTGTGTCATACGTCAAAAATGACAGGCTTTAGAAGAAAACGAAGGACACAGTCTCACTAAGGATGTGATTATCTACAACTTTTATCTAAAATAGCTTATAACGGAATTAGGGACAATTTTGGAAATAGCCGAAATTTGTTTTTTTCGAAATATCTAGTAAGCCATGAACTTTTTCAAAAATCTGAAAGGCGCATATTTATGAACCCACAAAACTGCAATTCTTTCCCCATTTAACCGACTCTCTATCTCCAGTAGTTTCCGAGGTACCCATAGAAAACATCGTAGGAAACTCACCCTGTATAATATGTATATTATCATCCACTTATTCATTTCCTTTTATCTTATCGGTTGGGTGGGTAGCAGCCACCGCTCTAAAAGACAGAGATACGCGCCCACCCAACCAATAAGATAAAAGGAAATGAATAAGTGGATGATATATATTTTTACATTACATATATATGTATATTATATATATATATATATATATATATATATATATATATATATATATATATATATATATATATATATATATATATATATTATTTTACTTTATCACAACAAAATAAAACACTAAATCACAATACACCAAAACACTTTTAGTTTTACACTGGACGCGTGTTTTGCTAAAACTAAACTCAGTTTCAGTTTTAATCATCTGCTGATGATGCTAACATGATTAGCGAAACGCGCGTCCAGTGTAAAAGTGTTTTGGTGTATTGTGGTAATTTAGTGTTTTATTTTGCTGTGTAACACAAAAGGTTCCAACCCCAAACCACGGCATATAAATCACACGGCAGGCTAACTCTCTTTGGCGGGAACGCTACGCGCATACCGTCGCGCACGCCGCCATTAGGGTTTCCATCAACAGAAAGTAACCAGTGTCGTAGTTTCTTTCATCGACTGCGCACACTTTCGGCTGATTCGAGTCAGTAGCGTACGGATTAATTTATGTTGCTTATTTCTTGAGTTATATTTTATAGTTGTTGTTTTATTTTTGTTTATTGTGTTATATATTTGGTTTTTCTAGTTTATTTTCGTTTCTTGTGTTATATAATTTATTTTTGTATTTCTGAACATTTTTAAATCTTTAATTTTTACGTGTTTTTAAAATGCCTGGGCGAAGTTGTGCAGCAAAAAACTGCCCGAGTAGAGGACTAAACTGCAATAAAAGTTTTTCTGTTTCCTAGAGATCCGATTAGGTATGTATATACATATGTGATTAATTATTTTAACATATTTTTAGTTAAAAAAAACAGTAGTATACATATTAGGACATTCAGCTAAATAGAAAGATCTAATTAAAAATATACAAGTTCAGCATCTATATTAAATGTTAACAAACTTATATACAGGGTGAGTCTTAAATAAGTGCAAATATTTTCAGGGCTGGCAGATCTCGATAAAAGAAACATATTTTCTCCTTACTTTTTCAGATAAATCCAAAATAACCGAGATATTTAAGTTTAAAAAAAAATGTTTTTTTTTTAAATGTTGAGTTGAGAGCCACCGGATTTTTTCTGTATTTGCATCCCTTTTAGTGCCGCAACCATAGAGTAAAGCCGTAACTATGGTAATATCAGAGATTAAGAAATTATACCGTGGGAAAATTTGCGGTGAACAGGCAGTTCTAAAAAGTTTTCGAAAAATATACAGGGAAGTTAAAAGAAAATGCACGATTTTCAATATCTTTTTTTAGCGAAAAAAAACTCATAAACGTGTTCCTGGGGTCGAAATATACCACCCCTGAAAATATTTGCACTTATTCAAGACTCACCCTATATGTATATAAAATATTAGCAAGATTAAAATGTTAAATATTTAGTAAAATTTAATGTTGTATCTAGACATTCAACATTAAATTTAAAAATAATTATATTATTAATTTAAATAAAATTATAAAAATAAATAAAATGAGTATATCGAAAATAACAATAGATTAGTAACAAGTTAACAATACATTTTTAGGGCAAGAACATGGGCAATTGCAGCTAATGGAGAAGACTTGATTGAAGGTATAAATAAGGCCCACAAGTACAGGTTGTGTTCTGTTCACTTTGAATTTAAAATGTTTACCAATTCACTTTGTAACCGTATAAAATACAATGCGGTACCTACTTTGTTTCCTGCCATGAAAAAAATAGAAGTTTCTCAAAAAAAATTATGGATTTATTAATTTGTGAAATTTGAATATTAATAAAATTTGCTACGCCCATTGATGGGCATAATTTGTACGTAGCCTCTTTATACTGTTCAATAAATATTTTATTGGTATTTTTTTAATTCTTGTTTGTAACTCCTGGTATGTTTTTGTTAGTTGCAGGTTTTTAATTTGAATTGTCTATTCTCTACAGTGAAATATTTAATTGATTTTTTCATTTTTACTTTTCGAGAAGTATGCGCGGTTAACAATTCATTTGTTTGGACAAAAGTATTGTAAATAAAATTCAGTTTCAGTCAATTACAGTATTTTTTTAATACGACCCTGTCGTATTTTCTGATAAATTTTTTAATACGTTTTAATCCGGCCCTGACTAGGAAACCATAATGGCGCCGACAAGGTCAAATTTTCTAGAAATTTTAAACAATGGAATCTGAGTAGAGTTGGCGTGCCGATTGTTTTATGTGCCGTGCCCAAACTGTAATCACTTTATCACAAACAAAATTGAAAACTAACTAACTGATAAGGGAACATTTAGTAACTGATAAGATTTAAAGTTTAGTTATTGTTTTGATTTTTTTTCAATCAATATTGTATATTTACCTTATTATTAGCTAGGTGTAAAATTTTCACATGAGGAGTCTTCTTAAAACCATTTTTCAAGGTCTCTAAATTCATTAGTCGATTATTATTCAGGCTAATTGCTTCCAAATCAGGAATATTTTGTGCTACAATATCCATAACTGTGCTCAGAATGATGGGTTTATACAAAGCAAAACACATATCTTGTAGCTCTGGATCTGCATGAAACTTGCTTAAATCGAGAGCTTTATTATTTGTATTATATCTTTTAGCCAATACAAGTTTTAATTTCTCTTTTGAATATTCCAGGTCCTGATAAGATATATTTGGAGATCCTGGATGAACTTTTACAATTAATCTATATCCAGTAGGCAGTTGTACTTGTTTGTCTAAACTGAGTAACTTCTCAGCTACTTTATATTCATCTACATAAAAAATCACAGTGGTTCCATTTGTCTGCCACTAAAAACATTAAATATTTTTAAAAAATACTACATCAATAAGCATCTCTAAACCTACAGCAATTGGCCAGAATGATAAAGGTGCCACCTTATCCAAAAACAATTTCTGCAAAAAACTTTTTTCTTGGTTGCCTCCATAAGGTATCTAAAATAAATATAAAAATTAAAAACGTCTTTTTAAAGAACAAAAATAGAGCTTACAGAAACTTTATACCATCCGGATTGACATTCAAGCAACTTTCTGTAATTACCAGGAGTTGGTGATCCTCGGTGCCCCTTTCCTTTTTTATAACCACCACTTCTACGAAAGTTTTTTCCAGATACGGAACCTAAATTCATGTCAATATCTTCTTCTTCGAGATGATCCCGAATGGCATTTGACAAATCCTTATTCTTGTATTTGTTATTAAAACCTCCATGACCTCTTCCTAGTTTGAAAGTAACTCTTCGCTGTTCATAATTGCCGTGAGTATCGATAGCTCGATCTCAACAAACAAATAATATTAGTCGAAAGTAAAATTAACTAAATGATAAGATTTGATGGTCAAGTGCTAAATTTATAAATACGACTTACCATCATGTTCACGCTTCCATTGCTTTTTGAAACCTGGTTTTGGCATATTTGATTCGATTAAAGATGATCGTCAAAAAAATGTTGTAAATCAACACTGGTATACCCAAAATTTGTTGATTTTGTCCGTGCTTTTAATGGACGTTTACACGACACTTCCAAAAAAGATTTGCAAATGGCGATGTGATGGCGATGGCTAAACATGGGTGGAATACAGTGTTGCCAGATGAAAATATGTAATATCCGTATTTTGTTGGTTGAAATCAGGTTGAAATCATAGGTTGAAATTAGTAGTGGGAACTATCGAATGAATACTATCGAAACATTCGATAGTTGCAATTCATGGTTGCAATTCATTTGAATAATTCGATAGCTAGTAAGAAAACATTCGTCGAAAACTATTCGAATAAATATTATCGAATAGTAATTCGGCAGCAAAAACCATTCATTTATAAAATTCATTCATTTATCAAATTCATTTATTCGTCGGGATCGATTTTAATAAAATATAAACTGGATTTTAGTTGTCGTCCGGCGACGTAGGTTTCTTTCCTAGAAACCCGACAGCGGTCGGTGGCAATGCTATGAAAGAAGCCGGCATCTTTGATTTTTTGCGGAGTCAAATAAAATAATGACACATTATTTTTTTTTTATTGAGGTGCTAAATATTTACCTTAGGTATTGGTTAATAGAAAATATATTATGAAGGGCGCTGTTTGCCATATATTTGTATTAGTTGGTATTAGCAAAGAATATTATTCTTTTTAGCATTAGTTAGTTAGGGATAGTATGTCTATATGTTTTGCATTTTTTATGGTAAGGTGTGGATCCGGTGGCTGACCTTGAAGCCCATATTTGCTGGATTTGATCATCGATATTACGCAAGCGCACATCGTCGATGTTGCCAAATTGCGGTTTATTTTCGAATTATTTGCAGTTGAAAATTTTTTTTTTGAGTGTTAATCAATAATAATACAAATTCTATAATTAATTTTATAATTTCAGATTTATCTTAATATCCAAAATTACAAAGGTAAGCAGGATAATGAAGATTGTGAAATGAAAGTAATATGAATATATAAAATTGTAATAATCACAGATGAGATATGGAAGTGGTTGAATAATAATAACATTTATTTATATATTTACACGAATTTTTTCTTATTAGAATTGTTTTATTTCTTTCCAAGTTATTTAATTTCCTAGTTATTTACAGACAGGCAACAATAGTTTTGATTATTTGTATTGATGTTTTTGAAATACTACCATGACGAGTCTTATAGAACAATACACGTCAATGGGAGATAGAGGTAACATATTTTACCTATAATGTTACTAATATAATATACTTTGATTGTAATGTTTGTATCATAATTTCTTAAAAATATCAAGTTAGTGGATTAATAGCAATTTTAGACCTGTTGACATATATTTTATCGAAGAGGTAAGGATAAGACTAAAATAAGCTTTATGTTTTATCTTTTTCTTTAGAAGGGAGATGGTTTTGTGTCGTAGAATACATTACAGTATTTTAATATCGTGTACTTTGATATTATTTTCTTAATTTACTGTAATTTCGTTTCCTATAATGCCAACTCTTGACAATATGGCGAAGGTTGAGTTTTGATTAGTTTATACCTGTGTTTATACAAGAGAAAATTAAGACTTAGTTTGTGATTTATATTAAGATCTTTCTTATAATATTTGTTATGTCTTAATCTTAATACTATATTATGCTTGGTCTGGAAAATAAATGTTAAAATATCTTAATTTTGCATATCCTATTCCATCCTTCCATTAGGAAAAATATGGCTTATAAATCATATATGCTAAGAAAATCACATAAATTAGGTGTAAGAATACAGAAATCTTAATGTAGCGGAAAAATTAATGCAATATTAAGCAGAATTAAACACGGTAACTATTGCTGAAGCTGATTCTACAATTTTAATTACAGAGGCTAAAAGGCCTTTTAAGGCCTCCGTTGTTGTGATGGAATGTTAAAAAAAACCATTATGAACATGACATGAAGCTACAGCATTAAAAATTAAAAAAAAGAAAAAAACTTGAACACATCCCTTTTAATTTCCCGAATTTTTAATAAAGCACTTTTTAAACGTAGCATAATAACACAGATAACACATGTGTTATCTGTGATAATAATCTAGATAGGAATCTAGAGTTTTATTTCTATATAATTTTATTGACTATGATAATACATATGTAATAAGCGTTCACGTGTTGTGCGAAATATTAAAATAATAATATAAATAATAATATACCGGCGTACTATGATTGAAAAAAAAAATAGCGTCAGCGATGACTATGAAATGAAGATCGCTGTCATTTTATATGGGAAATGTCCTCAATCGTCATTTCCAAGCCAACTGGACGCCGTTTTTTCGATCATACGGTATATATTGACAAAAAAACACTGAAAAGCACATACCTATTTGTTTTCTACTGAAAATAATTCCAAAATAACTAGTGCAATCTGGCAATATCGATAACTGTGCGCATGCGTAGTATGTTCAGACTATATGCAGCTTAAAACCAGGTTTCAGAATCAGCCACCGGATCCACACCATTACCTTTTTTATTAATATTCTGTTGTTACACTGCTATAATACTTTTGGTAAAGGTGTGGATCCGGTGGCTGACCTTGAAGCCTATATTTGCTGTATTTGATCAACAATACTACGCAAGCGCACATCGTCGATGTTGCCAAGTTGCAGTTTATTTTCGAATTATTTGCAGTTGAAATTTTTTTTTAGTGTTAATCAATAATCATACAAATTCTATAATTAATTTTATAATTTCAGATTTATCTTGATATCCAAAATTAAGGTAAGCAAGATAATGAAGATTGTGAACTTTGATTATTAATTTACTTTGATTATAATGTTTGTATCATAAATTTCTTAAAAAAAATATCAAGTTAGTGGATTAATAGCAATTTAGACATATATTTTATCGAAAAGTGTGTTGATAAGACTAAAATATAAAGCTTTATGTTTTATCTTTTTCTCTTTAGAAGGGAGATGGTTTGTGTCGTAGAATACACACAGTATTTGGTAATCACCAGTATTTAATATCGTACTTTGATATTCTTTTTCATAATTTACTGCAATTTCTGTTCCCTATAATGCCAAATCTTGACAATATGGTGAAGGTTGAGTTATGATCTTATTAGTTTTATACTGTGTTTATACAAGACAAATTGAGACTTAGTTAGTTTGTGATTTATATTAAGATCTGTCTTATTTTTATAATATTAGTTATGTCTTATCTTAATATTATATTATATTTTTCTGAAAATAAATGTTGTATACATCTAATTTGCATCCTTATTCCATCTCTTCCATTAGGAAAATATGGTTGATAAATCATATGCTCAGGAAAATCACATAAATTAGGTGTAAGAACACAGAAATCTTAATGTAGCAGAAAAAATTAATGCAATATAAAAGCAGAATTAAACAAGAGTAACTGTTATCAGTTGCTGAAGCTGATTCTACAATTTTAATTACGGCGGCCAAAGGCCTTTTAAGGCGTCCGTAGTTTGATGGAATGTTAAAACCTATTATGAACATGACATGAAGCACACATTTAAAAATTTAAAAAAAAACTTGACACAACCCTTTAAGCACTTTCACGAATTTTTAATAAAGCCCTTTTTAAGCTTGTAGCATACCCAGAGCAACAATTAATTATAGAAATCTAGAGTTTTATTTATATTTAATTTTATTGACTATGATAATACATATAATAGCAAACATTGTGTTGTGCGAAATATTAAAATAATAATATAAATAATATAATATACCGGGCGTACTATGATGGAAAAAAGCGTCAGCGATGACCATGAAATGAAGATCGCCGTCATTTTACTTGAAATGTCCAATCGTCATTGCCCAGCCATCTGACGCCGTTTTTTTCGATCACGGTATAGCTGACAAAACACCGCGCTGAAAGCACATATTTGTTTTCTACTGAAAATAATTCCAAAATAACTTGCAAACTGGCAACATCGAACATGTGCGCATGCGTAGTGTCAGTGACTATATGCAGCAAAAACTCGTTTCAAGGTCAGCCACCGGATCCACACCATTACCATACTTTTTATTTTGGATGTAGGAAAATGATTTTTAATGTTTTTAAGCAAAGACTGGTTTAATAAATAATAATAACAGTAATAATTTGTTATACCTATTAACAACAAAATTTACAATCATTTAATAATATAAACATTTGTTGGTAATGGTGTGGATCCGGTGGCTGACCTTGAAACGAGTTTTTGCTGCATATAGTCACAGACACTACGCATGCGCACATCTTCGATGTTGCCAGATTGCAAGTTATTTTGGAATTATTTTCAGTAGAAAACAAATATGTGCTTTTCAGTGTTTTTTTGTCAATATATACCGTATGATCGAAATAACGGCGTCCAGTTGGCTGGGAAATGATGATTGAGGACATTTCCCATATAAAATGACAGCTATCTTCATTTCATAGTCATCGCTGACGCTATTTTTTTTCAATCATAGTACGCGGTATAGTATTTATATTATTATTTTAATATTTCGCACAACACGTGAACGCTTATTATGTATTTTCATAGTCAATAAAATTAAATATAAATAAAACTCTAGATTCTTATAATTAATCTAATTGCTCTAGATTATTATGCTACGTTTAAAAAGTGCTTTATTAGAAATTCAGAAAATTAAAAGGGATATGTCCAAGTTTTTTCTTTTTTTTAAATTTTTAAATGCTGTAGCTCCATTTCATGTTCATAATAGATTTTTTTTAACACTCCATCAAAACTACGGAGGCCTTTTAGCCTCCGTAATTAAAATTGTAGAATCAGCTTCAGCAACATTAACAGTTTTACCTTGTTTAATTCTGCTTATACATATATTGCATTAATTTTTCTGCTACCTTAAGATTTTTCTATTCTTACAACTAATTTATGTGATTTTCTTAGCATATATGATTTATAAACTATATTTTTCCTAATGGAAGGATGGAATAGGATATGCAAAATTAAGATATTTTAACATTTATTTTCCAGACAAAGCATAATATAGTATTAAGATTAAGACCAAATATATCAGATCAAAACTCAACCTTCACCATATTGTCAAGATTTGGCATTATAGGAAACAAGAAATTACAGTAAATTAAGAAAAGAATATCAAAGTACACGA